TTGAGACTGATCCAAAACAAGCTGTACTTGATGGTCTTATTGGACTACATTCACTTCCAACACTTATTAAAGCAAGAAAGATATATTCATCATTAAAGAAAGCTGAATTATTTGTGGTAGAAAGTGTTATTGGATATATGGTAAACCTAGAATTGGTAAATCATATCTTGTTAGAAAAGCATTTGATTCAGTATACTTTAAGGCTCAGAATAAGTGGTTTGATGGATATTCAGGAGAAGATGTTGTACTTATTGATGACTTTGATAAAGGAGGTTCTATTCTATCACATTACTTGAAGATATGGGCTGACTCATACAAGTTTGTAGCTGAAGTAAAAGGAGCTATTGTATATCCATTGTATACAACATTAGTTATAACAAGTAACTATCTTCCTGAAGAGATATTTGAAGGTGACTATGAATTACTTGAAGCTATTAGAAGTAGATTTGTCACAATACATATGACTGATAGAGATCAACAAGACAAGATAATAGAGATAATGAAGAACAAGAAAGGAGATGAAGGTGGTCTTATGAAAGAAGTAGACGACATTGTCTGATACAAAGATATTATCTTTAAATTACGGAAGTAATTTTTTTGTTAAAAACAAACAAGTTAATAATTCCTAAACCACCAATAAATTATTGCATACTTATTTTATTAAGAAATAAGTAATTAAAAATTGAAGAAGAAGAGGAAGTCGTCGTCGCCATATTTGTTAAAAGATAGGGTGGGAATAAAATAGTTAATTAAAAAGAGTTAATTAATTAATTATTAAGATTAGTATTTTATAAATAACTTATAAATATTTTAATATATTTAATTGTATTTAATTAAAATTAATTTCTATTTTTTTTAATTATTTTTTTTATTTCCTTTTTTATTAATTAATTATTTATTAATTATTTATCCAATCCCCAATTTCCAATCCCCATTAATTTCTATTTTTTTTAATATATTTTTTATCTGGATTTTTTCGTTGTGGCTTTTTCGCTCCGGGTTTAACAAACCTCCGCTCATTGTGAGGGGGGAAGCACGCAAGCGTGCGACATAGTTATTCGCTTCGCTTTTGCTTTCCCCCCCTCACACTCCCCCCTGTGAATTAAAGTGAATTAAAGGAAAAAGTTAATATATTAATTAATTATTTGGATATGTTAATTATTTTTTAGTAATTACTTATAAAAGATACTAATAATATTTTTTCATAAATTAAAATAAAGATATATTATTAATTATTTTTATATAACTATTATTAATATATAAGTTTTAATTGAATCCCCAAAAAGATATTTTTATATATTATTAAAAGATATTATTATTATTTATTATAATATAAGATATTATTAATTGAAAAAATAAATATAAGATATTTAATTATTTTGACTAGGTTTTGACTCGGCCAATGACCCCAAGGCCGCCTTGTAGACCCAGCATAAAACCTAGTCTAGGCCGAACCATTTATAATAGAGTAACCCAGTTGACCTCGGTTTTCTAGCCTGGGTTAAAAGAATACAGACCCAGGCAAAACACGCGGTTTCTATAATAAAATATATATATATGTGTTAAAGCCTATACATTTTCATATTCGTGGTGGCCGATCCCCATTAATTAATTTTGAAGGTTATTGATTATTTTTATATTGAAAATAATAATTATTTTTATAATATATTTAAATTATTAGAATTAATTAGTCATTTTAAATTATTAATAACTTATTCGGCCAATGACCCCAAGGCCGCCTTGTAGACCCAGCATAAAACCTAGTCTAGGCCGAACCATTTATAATAGAGTAACCCAGTGACCTCGGTTTTCTAGCCTGGGTTAAAAGAATACAGACCCAGGCAAAACACGCGGTTTCTATAATAAAATATATATATATGTGTTAAAGCCTATACATTTTCATATTCGTGGTGGCCGATCCCCATTAATTATTTTTTTCTAGTCTATTGAAAATATTAATTATTTATTTGACATTTTTGTCAATAATAACAATTAGGATTTCTTATTATTTGTTGAGCAAAAGTATATAAGCTAATATTTACCTTTTGCGAAACAAATAAAAATGGACCCTCTTGCAAATAAGTTCCTTCATCACAAGAGGTATAGATCTGATAATAAAGCTAAAGGCTGGTTCTGCACTTGGCCAAAATGTACTTTATCAAAAGAGACTGCTCTTGATATTATCAAAGGTAAATTTAATCTGAAGAATATATTATATCTGAAGAAGTACATCAGGATGGTGATCCACATCTTCATGCATTTATTAAACTTGTTGATAGAGTAAGGTTTAAATCAGATTTATTTGATTTAGGTAATTTTCATGGCAACTATCAACTGCAAAGTCCTGGAATGCTGTTAAGAAGTATGTTATGAAAGGTGATAATTATGTTGCATCATTTGAACCAATACTTAGAATTAATCAGAAAGCAAAAAGGAATAAAGAACTTCTTGAGACTGATCCAAAACAAGCTGTACTTGATGGTCTTATTGGACTACATTCACTTCCAACACTTATTAAAGCAAGAAAGATATATTCATCATTAAAGAAAGCTGAATTATTTGTTGGTAGAAAGTGTTATTGGATATATGGTAAACCTAGAATTGGTAAATCATATCTTGTTAGAAAAGCATTTGATTCAGTATACTTTAAGGCTCAGAATAAGTGGTTTGATGGATATTCAGGAGAAGATGTTGTACTTATTGATGACTTTGATAAAGGAGGTTCTATTCTATCACATTACTTGAAGATATGGGCTGACTCATACAAGTTTGTAGCTGAAGTAAAAGGAGCTATTGTATATCCATTGTATACAACATTAGTTTATAACAAGTAACTATCTTCCTGAAGAGATATTTGAAGGTGACTATGAATTACTTGAAGCTATTAGAAGTAGATTTGTCACAATACATATGACTGATAGAGATCAACAAGACAAGATAATAGAGATAATGAAGAACAAGAAAGGAGATGAAGGTGGTCTTATGAAAGAAGTAGACGACATTGTCTGATACAAAGATATTATCTTTAAATTACGGAAGTAATTTTTTTGTTAAAAACAAACAAGTTAATAATTCCTAAACCACCAATAAATTATTGCATACTTATTTTATTAAGAAATAAGTAATTAAAAATTGAAGAAGAAGAGGAAGTCGTCGTCGCCATATTTGTTAAAAGATAGGGTGGGAATAAAATAGTTAATTAAAAAGAGTTAATTAATTAATTATTAAGATTAGTATTTTATAAATAACTTATAAATATTTTAATATATTTAATTGTATTTAATTAAAATTAATTTCTATTTTTTTTAATTATTTTTTTTATTTCCTTTTTTATTAATTAATTATTTATTAATTATTTATCCAATCCCCAATTTCCAATCCCCATTAATTTCTATTTTTTTTAATATATTTTTTTATCTGGATTTTTTCGTTGTGGCTTTTTCGCTCCGGGTTTAACAAACCTCCGCTCATTGTGAGGGGGGAAGCACGCAAGCGTGCGACATAGTTATTCGCTTCGCTTTTGCTTTCCCCCCCTCACACTCCCCCCTGTGAATTAAAGTGAATTAAAGGAAAAAGTTAATATATTAATTAATTATTTGGATATGTTAATTATTTTTTAGTAATTACTTATAAAAGATACTAATAATATTTTTCATAAATTAAAATAAAGATATATTATTAATTATTTTTATATAACTATTATTAATATATAAGTTTTAATTGAATCCCCAAAAAGATATTTTTATATATTATTAAAAGATATTATTATTATTTATTATAATATAAGATATTATTAATTGAAAAAATAAATATAAGATATTTAATTATTTTGACTAGGTTTTGACTCGGCCAATGACCCCAAGGCCGCCTTGTAGACCCAGCATAAAACCTAGTCTAGGCCGAACCATTTATAATAGAGTAACCCAGTTGACCTCGGTTTTCTAGCCTGGGTTAAAAGAATACAGACCCAGGCAAAACACGCGGTTTCTATAATAAAATATATATATATGTGTTAAAGCCTATACATTTTCATATTCGTGGTGGCCGATCCCCATTAATTAATTTTGAAGGTTATTGATTATTTTTATATTGAAAATAATAATTATTTTTATAATATATTTAAATTATTAGAATTAATTAGTCATTTTAAATTATTAATAACTTATTCGGCCAATGACCCCAAGGCCGCCTTGTAGACCCAGCATAAAACCTAGTCTAGGCCGAACCATTTATAATAGAGTAACCCAGTTGACCTCGGTTTTCTAGCCTGGGTTAAAAGAATACAGACCCAGGCAAAACACGCGGTTTCTATAATAAAATATATATATATGTGTTAAAGCCTATACATTTTTCATATTCGTGGTGGCCGATCCCCATTAATTATTTTTTTCTAGTCTATTGAAAATATTAATTATTTATTTGACATTTTTGTCAATAATAACAATTAGGATTTCTTATTATTTGTTGAGCAAAAGTATATAAGCTAATATTACCTTTTGCGAAACAAATAAAAATGGACCCTCTTGCAAATAAGTTCCTTCATCACAAGAGGTATAGATCTGATAATAAAGCTAAAGGCTGGTTCTGCACTTGGCCAAAATGTACTTTATCAAAAGAGACTGCTCTTGATATTATCAAAGGTAAATTTAATCTTGAAGAATATATTATATCTGAAGAAGTACATCAGGATGGTGATCCACATCTTCATGCATTTATTAAACTTGTTGATAGAGTAAGGTTTAAATCAGATTTATTTGATTTAGGTAATTTTTCATGGCAACTATCAACCTGCAAAGTCCTGGAATGCTGTTAAGAAGTATGTTATGAAAGGTGATAATTATGTTGCATCATTTGAACCAATACTTAGAATTAATCAGAAAGCAAAAAGGAATAAAGAACTTCTTGAGACTGATCCAAAACAAGCTGTACTTGATGGTCTTATTGGACTACATTCACTTCCAACACTTATTAAAGCAAGAAAGATATATTCATCATTAAAGAAAGCTGAATTATTTGTTGGTAGAAAGTGTTATTGGATATATGGTAAACCTAGAATTGGTAAATCATATCTTGTTAGAAAAGCATTTGATTCAGTATACTTTAAGGCTCAGAATAAGTGGTTTGATGGATATTCAGGAGAAGATGTTGTACTTATTGATGACTTTGATAAAGGAGGTTCTATTCTATCACATTACTTGAAGATATGGGCTGACTCATACAAGTTTGTAGCTGAAGTAAAAGGAGCTATTGTATATCCATTGTATACAACATTAGTTATAACAAGTAACTATCTTCCTGAAGAGATATTTGAAGGTGACTATGAATTACTTGAAGCTATTAGAAGTAGATTTGTCACAATACATATGACTGATAGAGATCAACAAGACAAGATAATAGAGATAATGAAGAACAAGAAAGGAGATGAAGGTGGTCTTATGAAAGAAGTAGACGACATTGTCTGATACAAAGATATTATCTTTAAATTACGGAAGTAATTTTTTTGTTAAAAACAAACAAGTTAATAATTCCTAAACCACCAATAAAATTATTGCATACTT